TCACATGGAACAGAGTTGGACATCTGATTCTTCTCCCCCAAGGCCTATGTAAGGCCAGCAAGGTCAAACCTTCTGACAGCTGAGTTAGACCCTGCTGACTGCAGCAGGTGCATAGCCAAGGCTACCGGATCAGCCAGGCTCACACTGGCTCAGTGACTCATGGGCTAAATAAATGTTCTTTATTTTATTTATCTTTTAAATTTATTTTTATTACTTGTGTGGTGCTGGGGAGCAAGCTCAGGGCCATGTGAATGCTAGACAAGCTATCTATCACTGAACTACATTTACAGCCCAGTGTTCATTGTTTTAAACAAACAAAAAGCGAGACACATCCTCTGATAAGAAAAGCCTTAGAGACTGGTGGAGTGGCTCAAGTTGTAGAGTGACTGCCTAGCAAGTATGAGGCCCTGAGTTCAAACCCCAGTACTGCCAAAAACAAAGAAAGAAAGGATTTTAAGAAAAGCCTTAGGAAGCAGAAAAGAGAAAAATAGAGGGGATGAACCAATTCAGATTATAATACATCTATACATGGAAATGTCACAAATAAACACCTTGCATAGCTATCTTAAACAAAAAAAAATGTCATTAAAAAAAAATAAAAATGGAGAACAGGAAGGCAAAACAGGTCCTGTCTGGGGGATTGGTACCAGTGGGAGGGGAAAGGATATAAGGAAAGGTTGTAGGAGGGTGAATATGGTGGAAATACTCATGTATGTAAATGCAAAAAATAAGACCTGTTGAAACTACTCCAGGAATGGGGGAGGGGAGATAAAGGAGAATGATAGAGGGGGTGAATATGATATAGTGCAGGAACTTTGTTTTTTTTTTTTTTACTGGGGGCAGATTTCCAGCATAAGCCAGAAAATCTGCTGGACAAATTCTAAAAGAGCCATGACACTTGGAACTTTGGTTTTTTTATCTTTTATATTGCAAGAACTTTTGTAAATGTTATAATGTACCCCCAGTACAACAATATTAGCAACAAAAAAGGAAAAAAGTTTTAGAACCGAAAATATTTAAATTCTCTTCACTTCTAGATTTTCTACTAATTCCATCTGAGTAAGAATCTCCTTTCTTCCTACATAAATATGATAATTTATTCATTCAGTCATTCAGTCAATAGATTTTTTTTTCTTTTTCAGTATAAGTGCTTTGATAGGCATGGTGGGGACATATGGTATAGGGCACAAGAAGGTACAGATCTGATTTATAGTCTAGTTTGGACAGAAAGGAAATAAGCCTGACCACAGAAATCACCTATTACATTTGAACTGAAACAATATGGGGTCAGTTTACAGCTGTGAGACCCTTGGGTAGTTGCTTTACCTCTCTGAGTTTTGGTTTCCTCATTTCACAAACAAGGCTAATATTTCTCAGCATGGTTGGAAGGGCCAAAGAGATTTTCAAGATACTGAGCCCACCATGGGTCAGAATCATCCACTTCTTGACTTTGCTTGCTCACAGGTGGCTTTGTATGCTACTTTCATCATGTCTGGATGTCCCCTGATGGGGCAAAGCTTCCTGGGTTTAGGAGGGGCCTTTGCTTTCAACAATTCTTCACAAAGAATCAGGGAGGATCCAGCCCAGACAGGAATTTGGCATTTTTCCAGCAGCCTGAGAGAATGATTTCTGAGAGACTGAGAGGTAAGGTGTGATGGTTAAATTTATGTGCCAACTTGGCTGCATATGATGGTACATGCTATAATACCAGCTACTTGAGAGGTGCAGATAGGGGGAATTGCAGATCAAGGCCAGCCTAGGCAAAAAAATTAGCAAGACCCTAATTTGCAGAAGTCAGAAGATTATGTTCTGAGACCAGCCTGAACAAAACCTTTAGATCCTATCTGAAAAATAAAGTAAAAAGGGCTGAGGGTGTGGCTCAAGTGGTAGAACACTTGCCCAGTAAGTGCAAGGCCTTAAATTCAATCCCCAGTTCTGCCAAAAAAAAAAAAATAAATAAATAAAATAAATTATGTGTCAGCTGAGTTAAGGGATGTCCACATTTGTGGTAAAACATTTTGGGTATGTCAATGCCAGTGTCTCTGGAAAAAATTAACATTTGAATTAGCAGATTGAGTGAAGAAGATGGCCCTTAACAATGTGTAGCATCCAATCCACTGAGGCCCTGAACAGGACAAAAAGGCAGAGGAAGATAAATTCCCTTTCTGGTGGAGCTGGGCCATGTGTCTTCTCTTGCCCTTGGACCTAGGCTCTCCTAGTTTGCAGGCCTTCATCTTGAACCAGGACTGACATCTTTGGTTCTTGGGTCCTAACCTTATACTGCAACTATACCACCAACAGTTCTGGGCCTCCAGCTTGCAGATGGCAGACTGTGGGTGGGACTTCTTAGCCATCAAAATCAGGTGAGTAAATCCCTAATAATAAATCTCTTTCTATATCTATGCATATCCTATTGACTCTGCTTCTTTGGGGAACCTCGACTAATACAGAAAGGGTTATGGAGAGCACTCTGTAAATCAATCCTGGTATGAAGCAGTGATCATTCCATGGCCTAGGGCTATAGGTCAAGGCTGGGTGGCTTGTTTGCTTCTCAGCCTTGACTGGGAGATGAGCTGCAAGGAAGGGTTCTGACCTGGAACCTGGTGTTTTGCCCAGTTAGCCTACCCTTTTGCCCAGTTAGCCTGCCCTTCATATGAGCCAGGACCTGAAGTGCAGTCTGAGGACCAGGAGGGAGGGGTAGTAGGTGAATGACAGGTAAGGGATAAACAGTGAATATCCCCCATGCTGTCTTTCCTCCTCCCTCAGAATGCCTGGACCTCAACCAGAACATGCATCAATCAGAGAAAGCACAGGAACCAAAGTTCAGGCTTTTGGGAATGAACCTGCTTGATCAGAATCCATAGCCTGTCCTGCCAAGTCTTACTGGGAGATTGAGTGACCTCACATCGTGCAGTCAGCCATGAGCAAGGCACCCCTAGCCCAGGGTCATGGAGAAGGGGACCAGCACAAAAGACTAAGAGTTGCAAGCTTGGCTACAGTACCCACTTTGGTAAGTTAATGCCCTGCCCCTGCCCCCATGCCACAGTTTGTCCTTCTCATCAGGGTATTTTGTGAGAGGCATGGGGAAGCCAAATTTTGCAGGTAGCAGAGGTTCTTGGGAGTGTGGAGCAGCAATGTAACCATATATCCTGGCGACTTTGACAGTCAAGGAAACATCCAGTTTCAGAAACATCTCAGGTAGACCAGTTTGACATGAGGTGTGACCCTGTTGGAAAATCAAATCTTCACTACGTCAAGAAGATGCTCAGGAAATGTCTATGGAGTGATGGCTCCACGTTAGCCAGAGGGGAGTACACAGGCCTCTGGGCTGTTTGTAGTTGGGAATCTGAATGTCTGACATATGCATGAAGAGAGCTGGGGGAGAGGGCAAGGATGACCAGACTGGTATGTGGATCTGTTACCTCATCAGTGGGAGAAGTTGAAGGGCTAGATCCTGAAACCACAGTTCTGTGGGTTTGAGCTGGCAATGCTGTAACAAGAAAGAAGGGAAAGAGGGGTAAAGAGACAGTGAGACGTTGTGGGTGTGTGAAATAGAGATAGAGACAGGGCCAGGGACAGAGTTGGGATGAGGAGGAAGAAGAAAGGGAAAGAGGGAGTCAGGAGGACAGAGTAAAAGCTGGAGCATCAGTCAGTCCATAAGTACAAGCTAGAAATAAAAAGCACATTTGGAGGCACCTTCAGAGGTGGAAAGAACCCATCAGGTCACAATCTGTCATCCTATCTGTCTCTTTCTTTAGCCTATGGGTTTTGAAGGCAGGCACCAGGTTTGTCATCTTTACATCCTCAGGGCATAGCACTGTACAAGGCAGTCAATGAAAGTTTTCTGCCAAGTAACAGTGGCTCACCCCTGTAATCCTAGATACTCAGGAGGTAGAGATCAGGAGGATTTCGGTTTGAAATCAGCCTGGGCAAATAGTTCAAGAGACCCTATCTTGAAAAAAAAACTTCATAGATCAAAAAGGGCTGGTAGAGTGGCTCAAGGTGTAGACTCTGTGTTCAAACTCAAGTACTGCCAAAAAAAAAAAAAAAAAGAAAGAAAAGAAAAAAAAAGCCTAACACAAAAAAGGGCTGGCAGGCAGAGTGGCTCAAGTTGTAGAGTGCCTGCTCAGCAAGTGTGAAGCTCTGAGTTCAGACCCTAGAATGCCAAAAAAAAAAAAAAAGGGGGGTTTTCAAATAAATAAATAAAATACTAAGAAAAGGCAGGATTTTAAGATAGAAGGGAAAAGACATAGAAGATATGGCTATGCATATAGACCTAAGAATTAACAGAGATTCCTTTTAAAACCCAGCTGTCATCTATCCTAACTATATGACTTTGTACAGGACTTTGTACAGCCTGAGTTTGCCCTGTAAAGTTATTGCAGGATTAAATGTCTTCAAAACTCTTAGCAGAATGCCTACATAAATTCTCAATCACATTAGCTACTATTGCTATTGTCACAGTTTTGACTGAAAAATAAGCAAGATAGGGATGGGGGATAGATAGACTGCACATATGATCTTTGATCAACGGCTCTTTGTCCCATAACTTTGTAGTGGCTTTCTGCTTTAACTCTAGGTTGGCCAAGGGTCAGTGGTAAAGTTGATGCAAGCAGACATGTGACCAGGAGGCATGTGTGTCTGATTCCTTTTTTGGAATGCTGCCATTGTAGGCTAGCCTGGTGGAAGAATGTAGGAGACATGTGGAAGAGAGCCAAAGAGTGCCAGTTGAGACCATCAAAGACCTGTCACCCCCTAACCTGCTACCTATGGCAGATGTTTGTGTGAGCCCAAGAAGGCTCAACCAGGTCCAGTCCAGATCAGCAAGATGACCTGGCCAATCCTGAGACTTATGTGAAATATAATAAATGACTGCTGTTCCAAGACATTATTACACAGCAACAGCTGTGTAATACAGCTGGTACAGGAAGCTTGATAGCTCTTGTTCTCTGATATGGAGGCAGCTGTTATCCAAAAGTAAACGAGCAAGGAAGTCATGATCTTCAGATTTTATTGTAGAGTTTGGTGAACTTGAATGAACAAAAGCTGCAAGAAGTGATTTGGAGAGCATGACAGGGCCATGGGGATGGGTTGATGAAAACAAATCCCTTTGCCAGACCCTGAGGGAGCCCTTTAAGCAGGTAATAGCAGGGCTGCAACCAGGAGAGCTGTGGCTTGGGTGGCAGGGTTGGCCCAGCTTGACCCTGCAGGTCTCAGACCCTGGGGTCATACACCCGCCCCATGAAGACAGGAAACTTGTGCTGCTGGTCCCAAAGCAGGAAGAGGAAGGGCTGTTGCACCTCAAAGGTCAGCAGATTGCGGGCCACAGAGATGGCAGAGGCTGAAGCTGCCTCCACACCTGTCTCAGTCAATTCCACCACCGTCTGGTGCTGCATGGACGACACCTGAAGGTCCGGGTCCTCTGTCAGCCCACACAGGTTGAGGTCATAAGTAAAGTCAAAGAATTCTAGGCCCAAACCAGAGATAAACAAAGTCAGAGACTAGCATGAAACTCTTAGCTGACAGAGACAAAGATCTTAAATGTTCTGGATTAGTCTTGAGTCCCTATACTTTCTTCCTCCTCCTTCCCAGTTTGTCAAATTATATACATAGTGCCTTCTGGTCCCATTTATTGGATCCTCTCTCAGTGGGGCCAACCACCACTCTCAAGAGGTGAGAGGCCTTATGCCCACCCACCTCCAAAAAAACCCCTAAAAAATGATGTCATTGCTTCCTGGTCTCCAAAGATCTTGGAAGAGTAATAATTAACAGAGACAGGTAATAGATCATGTACAAGAATGTATGCTGTGGGATAAAAAGAAATACATATATTGTGTCTCTTCCCAAAATTCCTGACAAGGAGGTCAAAAAACCCTTGTAATTTCCTTAGCAATGGGGGTGCTCGGAGCACCTTTTTTTCTAGTATTTGGTCTTTGGACCTGGTTCCTGACATTGAGCTCCCAAGTCCCTTGGAACTTCCTTCATAGGAGTGTCTTTTCTTTTAATGAGACTCTTGGTGGGCTCCTGGATGCAGTCTGGTCACTAAAAGAAGCAAGCCATAATCAGAAGCTTGGAACTTTCAGCCCCACTCCCCAACCTCTCTGGAGAAGAGAGAAGCAGGAAAGTTAGTAACCAACCATGCCCATGTGATGAAGCCTTCACAAAGACCATCCAGATGGTGCAGGGAATTGGTACTGGGGCCCTCAAGATTTTTCCCTAGGCCAGGAGTAGTAGTACATGCCAGTAATCCCAGCTACCCAGGAGGCAGAGATGGAAGTTGTGGTTTAAGGTCAACCCAGGCAAAACACAGACATTATCTCAAAAATCAAGCCAGGTGTGATGGCCCACGTCTATAATTCCAGCTATGTGAGAAGCAGAGGTAGAAGGCTGCTCTGGGCAAAAGTGAGACCCTATCTGAAAAATGACTGAAGCAAAAAGTGCTGGGAGTATGGCACAAGTGGCCAAAGCCCTGAGTTCAAAACCCCTAGGATTGCCCACAATTTTTTTTTCAGTATATCCCTCTTCATCTGTTTATCATATCCTTTATTATACAATGAAGCCAGTAAACAAGAGTGTTTCTTCTAGTTTTGTCAGCCATTGTAGCAAAGATTGAACCTGGAGAGGATTGTGGAAACATTTGATTTATAGCTGGTCAGCCAGAAGCGTGGGTGACAGCCTACTCTTGCAACTGGTGTCTGAGTGGGGGCAGTTCTTGTGCACTGAGCCCTTAAAACTGTGGGATCTGATTCTATCTTTAGGTAGATCAGAATTGAATTGAATTGAATTGTAGGACACTAAGTCTGTGTCTGTAGAGAACTGAAGTAAAAGAGGGAGCAAAAACACGCCTACACAGTTGAGAGCCAGAAGTGTTAAATGGGAGTATAGAGAAAACCGACTTGTTTTTCCTGTACAGATGCCACAAACTAGGAAATGAGATCACGTGTTAGTCAGTCAAGTTTCATAACAGGAAATGAAGTGACAGATCCAGACATGAGGTCAAAGGTTAGGAAATGGAGCTTCTGTTGTTGCTCCCAAACTCAGAAGCCTCCAGATGCTCTTACCCAGATGGCTTCTTGCATGTTCCATGGGGTTGTTGACTGTGTGTTATGAAAGTATTGGAGAAGGAGCCTCAACAGCCCACCTTGGTCACCTGGTTCAGTTGTACATTCTAGTGGACTATAGTGGAAACAGCCAAGAAAGTTGGAGACCAGGACTGATATTCTGGTTTGCTTCTAACTATCTCAGGGGTAAGTCATGTAAATTTTAGGTTAAGTCTAATAAAGTTTCTGAGTCTCAGTTTCTTCAGTGATCCAATGGGAAAATAACATTTGTCCCTTTAACTCACAGGCTTGAGAGACAACCTGGGATGATAGATTAAAAAAGAACAAACCAAAACTCTAGAATGCAAATAGTATTTTAGGGACCCCCCCCCGACCTTTCTCCTTTGATAATGGGAGTAACCTCCAGCAGCTAAAGCTCACCCAGTTTCTCCATGATCGACAGCATGTCTTGGTTGCTTTTCACCTTGATGCGGGGCATCATCAGGTAAGTGGGCTGGAACTTGGACAGCTCCAGCTTCTGCATGATGGCCTTGAAGACAGTGGGGCTGAGAGCCTGCTCCATGTCCTCAAGATGGTGTTTCAGGCTCTGAGGTACTATGATCACAAAGCTCAGATTGTGGGAGAGCTGCAGCTGCCCCACCTAGAGATGGAGAGATGCACCTTTTCAGTCTCCCTACCCCAGGCCCCCACCCTCTGTGCCCCAGGACTGTCCTTCATCCTCTAATAGTTTAACAAACAGCATCCAGACCTAGGTCCCATGCTCTGTCATGAAATGGAGATGCCAGCTGTTCTAATGGGATAGTGCTGGTCTAACTGTGCTGGTGAGAGATAATGAAATAAGCATGAGTTTCTGAACACACCCTGACTACCACTGACTGACTAAGTGATACTAGGCGAGGGATCTGATCTCTCTGAGCCTTGTCTTCTTCCTCTCAAGTGTGTTGTGTGCCAAGTGTACAACCTGCATGAACCATCAGATTTACCATACAGTCCCTTTAAAAACTTTAGGTGGCTCTTCACTGCCTGTGAAATTAAGTACTAATCTCTCAGTGTGGCATTCAAGATTTCTCACAAGCTGATCCATTAGAAGGATTTTCTACTGATAGACAAAAAAAGAAGTACGCAAGAAGCGTAGGACTCATGGTTCTAGTCAGAAATTCTCAATTCAGGGTGAATTTGCACACACTCCTTCAGTGGATATTTGGTAATATGTAGAGATAATTTTGGTTGCCACAGCTGGTAGGAGTGGAGGAAGGATGGCCAAGTAGTGTTTCTGCTTCTTGTGGACAGAAGTCAAGAATGATGTCAAATCCTATAATGCAAAGGATAGCTCCCCACAATGAAGAATTATCCAACACAAAATGTCAATAGTGTCGAGGCTGAGAAATCCTAGTCTAATAGGGTATGAGACTATCAATAAATGGAATTATGGCTGAGGTGAAAGATCGATAAGAATCTAGAACAATGTAGAGTTCAATTGGACAACAAAGCAATGAAATAAAAGCAAATAATTGTTGCAATCTGGAAAACTGGCTTAGAAGTAGCTTCTAAACAGGTATTAAACAGAGGAGGATGAACCTGGAGTCCCAGTTAACATGGCTTCAAATAGGGTTTATTCTTCTGGGCAGTCTGTATGCTTAGGTGCATAAATGGACCTTGAATCTCTGACCAAAACTTTACTGTGTGGTGGTCTGGGATTTTCAAGCCAGTGCTTTCCACATACTTGGGCTAATAAATCTGTCTTACTTGGGAAAATACCCTTAAGTTTCAGGAAAACTTAAAATTTAGCATGGGAATGACAGAGTAAACCAACTCCATAATATTAATACTAGGTGTTAAACTTAGGGTAATATGGGTTTGTTATTTAAAATAGTGTTTGTACTTTTTAAGAGAATCTGACATGCTAATTTTTATGCTTTTTTTTAGTTTTTATGCTTTTAAGTAAAAAGATGCAGGACATGGCCCAAAAGACCAAAAATCGTATGTTCTCCCTCATATGTGGACATTAGATCAAGGGCAAACACAACAAGGGGATTGGACTATGAGCACATGATAAAAGCGAGAGCACACGGGGTGGGATAGGTAAGACCTAAAAAACTAGCTAGCATTTGTTGCCCTTAACGCAGAGAAACTAAAGCAGATACCTTAAAAGCAACTGAGGCCAATAGGAAAAGGGGACCAGGAACTAGAGAAAAGGTGAGATCAAAAAGAATTAACCTAGAAGGTAACACACACGCACAAGAAATTAATGTGAGTCAATGCCCTGTATAGCTATCCTTATCTCAATCAGCAAAAATCCTTGTTTATTCCTATTATGGCTTATACTCTTTCTACAACAAAATTAGAAATAAGGGCAAAATAGTTTCTGCTGTGTATTGAGGGGGTTGGGGGGAGAGGGAGGGCGCAGAGTGGGTGGTAAGGGAGGGGGTGGGGGCAGGGGGGAGAAATGACCCAAGCCTTGTATGCACATATGAATAAAAAAAAAAAAAAGATGCAGGACAGCTTTATTAAGTTTGAGAATGATGTTGGGATGCTGGCTGGAAGTTGATTTATTCTTCGGATTTAATTTTCAGTTCACAAGTGGGCTTTAAGCAATGCAGAGTTGTAATTCAACTGTCAGGCATTTGACATGTTTAAGAAGAAAATAAAATAAATTTATAAAAGGGGCTTGAAATGCTTACAAAAGCATTTATTAACTGTGTTTGTAAATAGAACAAAAGGAGATTAACCTATTTGATATGGCTTAATTAAAAAACAAATGAAAGTTTTTATATACAAATTACTCTGTTGTAAACAATGTAACAAGTTCAGCTTAAAAGGCATAGGTAAAACTTTGATTTTGAATTTATATATGTATATTTTTTGTGGTGCTGAGGATTGAACTCAGGTCCTTGAGCATGCTAAGCTGTCATTCCACCACTGAGTTATATCCCCAGCCCTGAATTTATAACGTTAGTACATTAAATTAAATATCTATTTAAAACCCCAATGAAGCAGAGTGCCACTGGCTCATGCCTGTAATCTTAACTACTCAGGAGGCAGAGATCAGAAGGATTGCAGATCAAAGTCAGCTTCAGGCAAACAGTTAGAGAGACTATCTTGAAAAAACCCATCATAAAAAAGGGCTGGTGGAGTAGCTCAAGGTGTAGACCCTGAGTTTAAACCCCAGTACTACCAAAAAAACCAAAAACCCAATGATCTGTAAATCCCTTGATATTGACATCTCCCTATATGCAGTCATCTATCTGTCTGTGGGGAGATTAGTTCCAGGAGCCCTGTGGACACCAAAATTCATGGATGCTCAAACCCCTTACACACACACACACACACGCACACACACACGCACAGACACATGGAGGATCTGAAAAGCCCACCAGTCCACATGGTGGATTGACTGAAAAGAGAAAGAGATGCACAGAATAAAAACATGACTCACTTTTTTGCTATTTGATGCAGTAGAGATGAATGAAGAAGTTTTAGAATCATGTCTTCCAGCCTAAAATACATAATCCCTGCCTTGGCCAAGGCTGGAGAAAGGAAAAGGAGAAAAGATAGGTGGAAATACAGATGGAAGGAGAAGAAATGATGAATTTATAAGGGTGCATCCCATACAAGGTGGTCGATAGCAGAAAGGAAGTCAGGACACTCAGACAAGTCTGAAACAGGAGTAGGGTGGGGCAAGAACTTACCTTGGCCTTCAAAGTTGGGTCAGTGAAATGGGCCACAGGATACTTTTTGCTGCTCATCATGGGCACTTGTATCACAGACTCTTTGAAGTAGAAAGACTCCATCTTTTTCTTTCGATCAAATGTTTTCTTCCATTTGGCTAAAGGAAAGAAAGGGTGGCTGTAATACAGGTAGGGAAAAAATGAGGACAAGCTAAACGATCTGTTAGCAAAGGATTGGACAGGCACATTGGGCTGTAGACCTTGGGGTCAGATGAACCTCAAAGCCAGGAGGGAAGAAGAACCCAGAATGGGCATACTACCTGGAAGTGGTCTCCCTTACCACTCAGGTAGACGGCATTGAGAAGGACAAGACGGGTGTCGGAGGGCAGGCTGTCTAGTAGTTGGCTGATCTTGTGGTTGGTATTCTCAGCCACCCAAGTGTTGATGAGCTCCAAGTTGGCATCACTGTCATTGCCCAGGACTCTGGGGCTGGTGCCATACAGGCTCTGAGAGATGTTCACAAAAGTGTCCCTTATGGCCAGGTCTGAGGGGCAGGTCAAGAGAAGGAGGCATGAGTCTGTTGAACACCCCTGACCCTTCCAAGAGCAAGCTTTGAGAGTGCACACACTTCCCATGGTTCTTGCTGCTTACTCCAATGAACACAGCATGTTGGAGCAGGCATCTACCCCACTCCCCTTAGAGATGTGGAAATGAGACCCAAAGAAGGAAAATCCTGAGCTAGGAGTAGAACTACTCCTAGGCCCTTAATGTCTTCGCTTCCCATGTGACCACAACTTGGCAAGATAACTCTGAGATATTAACCTTAACTTGCCTGCAATTTCCCTCTTCCCTTAATTCAGCAGGAAACAGACTCTCAGTGCAAGTTCATGACAAGACTTCCTGGGTTTTGCTCTTGAACCCCAAGTCCACAAGAGAAAATAGTGCTTAAAAGGGAAATTTTTGGCCAAGTATGGTGGTGTACACCTGGCAGAGGCAGAGGTAGGAGGATCACTGTCTGAGGCTGGCTCAGGCAAAAAAAAAGTAAGACCATATCTGAAAAACAAACTAAAAGCAAAAGGACTCAGAAGGAGGGGTTGCCTAGCAAGTATGAGGCCCTGAGTACAATCCCGAGTACTGCCAGAGAGATTAGAGAGAGAAAGAGAGAAATTTTTGTTGGACTTAACAGATCAGGCTTTTGGCTGATGTTTAGTTACAGGATAAGACCTAGAAACTTGTTACAACCCAGAGAGGAGGGCAGGAGGCAGAAAGCCCTAAAATACTGAGTGCAGGTATATTTTCTACCAGCCTAACAAGACATGAGGACAACATTGATTTATAGCAAATAAGAAAATGCACTAGTAATTGACATCTTTGAGCTATATTTTTCTCATTTAAAAAGAGGAGTTTTTGTGTGTTTTCTATGATAGGTATTACATTTAGAGTTCAGTGGTAGAGAGCTTGCAAAGACCTGGGTTCAATCTCCAGCACCGCAAAAAAAAAAAAAAAAAAAAAGGAAGAAGTATTTTCCTTTCTAAAAGACGGGTTGGACTAGATCTGTGATTTTTAAACCTTTAAAAACAGAGGAACTATTTTCAATAAAGTTATGTCAGAAGCTCACATTATAAATTGGCTGTAGTGAGACTGGCAGGAACACAGAGCCTGTCTGGCCCACCTTCCTGAGAGGAAGGGTGCCCGTGATTCAGCCTCCCTGATATACTATCCCATCATGAGTCCTAAGTAGCTATGCAGAATCCTAGGGCTCTGGGGACCCAAGTTTAAAACAACTGCATGAGATCATTTTAGGAGGTTTATATTACTATTTATTGCCATTATTACCTAATAGTATAATACATGTAAATGATAACAACTTCATTTAACACAAAGTACAAAGAATGAAAGTCTTAAGATTCAACCTAAAAATGAGCAAATATTTTATGTCTATAGCTCTCTAGCTCTCTAGCCCTGTCTATTAGTGAATGCATAAAGACATTCTTATTCTAAAAGGGGTGGATACATGCAGATAACTTGCCCAGGTCCCACCTGAAGGAAAGTCCAGTTCTTGGAGCCACCTGATACTTCTGTTGAGGCCCTCAGATGTTCTTACTCCATTCCTGACACAGCCCCTCTGTCCTCTTTTTCCCAGGTGCTGACCACTTCAGAATCCCCTCAGGATGCTCCTCTGCAACTACTGCCCTCCCTGGACACTCACCTGGGCTGTGGAAGATTTGAGAGACTGAGGTGATGCCTTTGGACGTGAAGGCCTTCAGGGCTTGGTGCACGCAGGCAAATTCCTTGGGGTAGGAGAGGACACTCTGCAGGTTGCTCTTGGTGCTGTCCCCAGCCCCTATGACAAAGGGCAGAGATGAAGAGCTCTTGTCGGAGGAGTGGGGGACTCACCATTTTGGACTAGGGTTGAGGACCAGGCTGGAGTAGAGGGTATTCCTTCCTGGGGGCAGAGGGGAAGGAATCACAGATCATCAGAGCTAGTTTTCTTTTGGAAGACAGTATATACATCAGAAAGATGCAAGTGAGGAAGTGACAAGTAGTCCCAGAATTTTTCCAGGACTTTGAATAGAACATTCCTCCTCTGTTTCTCTAACTTTCAAAGTTACATCTAATCACCTGCCTGTTAACTATTATTTAGTTGGTTTTGATTTATAAAAGGTCACTCTTTGGTGAGCGGGGCACTATTTAGATCACTATTTAGATGAGAGATCAGAAAGTCATAAACGGGAATGAATGTTCAGTATCTTTTCAGTTACTCATTCATTATTAAATACTTATTGTACATGCAGTAATAGCGAAAATTTATTGAGCACTTCCTCCACTGCAGTTGTTCTAAGTACTTCTCTGGTATTATGTCATCGAATTGCCACCAAGCCTTTCACATGAGGACAATTACTAACTATTCTCACTATACAGACCAGGAAACTAAGATTAAGTAATTTACTGATTTAAGGGTACAGAGACAGTAAGTGACAGATGGAGGTGGAATTTGAGATGTATTTGGGGGAGTAAGGAAATGAAGTAAAACCAATTGACTGGGACATGGCTTACAAGAAACACTGGTAATGTCTGGAGACTATGGCTGTCATACCCAGGGGTCGGGTACTATGGCATCTAGCAGGAATGGTAGGGTTCTGAGGCTCCAGAAGGAAGGATTTTAAGTGCTCACTAATAGGCTTCTTGGAATTCCCCCTCAGAAGTGACAGCTCCACTACTTTTGGTAATTGTGTCATTCCTAGGGGAAGTCCTCATGGGACTTGAAAGCAATCCTTCAGGAAGGCAGAGGATTTAACAATTTTTTGACCTCCCACTGAGTCAGGCACTAGGCTATCTGCTTCTTAATCTTTTGAGGCAGCTGTCATCACTTTAAACATGAGGACTCAGACTCAGAGAAGTTAAGTGATCTGTCCCTGATCACACAGCTAGGAAGCAGCATTACCGTGATTTTACTTTTGGTCTGTCTTCGATGCGTTCATCTCCCTTATTGCCTCACATTGCCTTGAACCATGGTTTGTGGCTGACACCTTCTTTTATATGTACTTGATCATTCCGTAAGGTTCTACAAGCAATCGTGCTTATCAAATTGTTGTTAAATGAAGGAATATTCAAGAATGAAAAGATCCACATCACTACTACCACCACCCCCACGTAGCCAATTTTACAACTTCCTTCCAGAGGCATAGCTTTGTAGAAGGTGTCTGGGTTGGTAATTCTTATGGGAGGGCCCTATGATCTGAACAGATGTCAGAATCTTACCAAGCAGGACCTGTGTGAGGAGGCTGGCAATGCTGAATGGGGAGAAGGCCATATTGGTGTCAGCCTTCTTGGTGGCTGAGAAAGCCTGGTAGAGCTTCAGGGAGAAATTCATTAATGCTTCCCTCAATGTGGCCTCTGTGGAAACCCTGTCAAAATCAGAGCACAGAACAGGCCCTGGGCAGATGGGCTCGGTGGTAGGCGGCATAGTTGATTGGGTGTACTGGGTGAAGGGTTGGGTGGTGAGCTCATTCATGGTATTTGCTGTTATTTTGGTGTCTGAGTCTGTTTTTGGCCAGGCGGAAGAATTCATGAAGAGTTGAGTGGATAGATTCTCAGAGACATTTTTCTCTGGATGCCAGGTGGAAGACTCCATGGAGCGCTGAGTGGGCAGACTCTTGGGGGCATCTCCCTCTGGGATACTTTCTCCTTGAGTGCTCTTTGGATCCTGTAGTTTAAGAAACCAGGTCTTATTTTTTTATACTAAGCTGCAGTCCCTTCAAACACTCCAAGCAGGAAAGTAAGATGGGAATGTGGAAAATTCTTGTTCCAGAAAGTAATTTCTGGCACAGCCTGGTGGGTGAAGGGCCTACCAGGAGACCACCCCCACAATTCCTTTAGACAGGGGACAATGCTGGAGGTGGATTATTGTCAGCAAAAGAAGAGGGGTAATCCAGGATCTATCATCTCTGTCCAACTACTGACATGTAGAAAACTGTTTTCTTCTTTCTCTCTCTCTCTCTGTGTCTCTCTGTCTCTCTCTCTCTCTCTCTCTCACACACACACACACACACACACATTCGTCTTTGTGGGAAAGGATCTCACTATGTAGCCCATGCTAGAACTCACTATGGGGCTCAGGCTAGTTCTTAACTGGCAATCTTTCTGCCTCAGCCACCATGCCTGGAGTGGAAACTGTTTTTCTTATAAATATTGCCCAGAGTGGAAATTGTTTTCTTATAAATATCTACCTCACTTGGTTCACTTTGTTGGCCAATATAGACATTTGAATTTGTGGTCCTTGTTTTAGAACAGTGGATTTGCAAACTGTGTGTTGTAACCCACTGGTGGGAATTGAAAGCAATTAGCATTCCAAAAGGAAAGACAGAAGAAAGGGGGAGAGAGAGAGAGAGAGAGAGAGAGAGAGAGATACTATAGACCAGTGGCTGAGAAAATTTTGATTCCAGTAGGATGTCTGGAGTAATTTTTGATTGTCATAGGGAGGAAGAAAGATGCTACTAGAATCTAGAATCTACTGGGTGCAGGCCAGAGACACTCCAAAACATCCTACAAAGCACAGGACAGTCCTTCATGGGTGAATATCCAGGTACATGTCAGTAGTTCCCTGGTGGAGAAATCCATTATCTCCATTTCTCAGAGAAACTGAGACTGATGCATTAAGTAACTAGCTCAAGGTTTCACAGAAGAGGGAGGAAAATCTAGGAGTCAGGCCGAGGTCTATGAGCAAGATCCCTTGCTCATAATCATAACTACACCATCTGCCGCCTAGGAGAGCCTGTCCCTGCACCCAGCCCCTGATCCACACGGCTCTGTCTTCTGTAGCAAGCCCTGGCTTTTTATCATTTTCTTGCCCTCTGTGAACTTGCCAAGCCTGGCTTCTGAACAGGGTGAGATCTACTTATTCTCCTTTTTTGTAAATCAGGAAAAGGAGGCCGGGGAAGTGACTGGCCCAAGGCCACACAGCTGGTGTACCTGCCAAGATAGAACCTGTGTCTGTCCCAGTCCCTAGCTTTCCACGCCCTGCAACGGGGGCGCACGGATCACACTTGCCACTCCCAAGAGAAGTTCCTCTCATTCTCCGGAGTCTGAAGGGTTAATCCTCAAATCCCCCACCCCACGAAGGGACCACTTACCCCAGCCAGCAGCAGCAGGAGGAGGGTCAGCGGGGTCAGCCTGGAGGCCATCTGGGCGGCGACGTCAGCCGCGACCTGCCTGTGAAGCCAGCCTGTGTTGGAGCCAGCCCGGAACCTGAGCGCTCAGGGGCCCTCCACCTCTTCTCCGGCCCGCCCCCATTCCTTCCAGGCCTCAGCCCCTCTTGGAGAATTCCCGACCCCTCCCTCTGGGGCCACCTTCTCCCTGGCTCCGCCTTCTGTTTTGTTTTCCCCAAACCGCCCTCCCTTCCCGGCATCGGCCGGCTCTTCCTCTCCCCACCCCCCAGGCCCGGGTCTCTGTCCATCTGTTCAATCAGTGGGGTCCTGCTTTAGCCAAACAATAAGGCCAGAGGCAGTGGGGAGGGCACCACAGCTCTCAGGGCAGGAGGAGGAGGCAGAGGTCTCAAGTGGTTGCAAGCTTGTAGAGACTGCAGAAATAAAAGGGGACAGGAAACTGAGGGAGCCTCCCCTTGCCCAGACCCTTTCACCCCGTGCTCTCATCTCACTCTCACCCCCAGCACCAAACCTGGTTCAGACTCTTGGTCACTAGGCAGCTTTGGTGCAGACTGAGTGGACAAGTCCCGCAGGGTCAGCGAGGGTGGGGAGGGATGGGGGCAGTGTTACCTATTGGCTGACCAAGGACACTGCCCAGTTACAAATTAAGGATGATTGATCGCTGGTGTGAGTTCCCGTAAATCAGGATGGAACCGACCAAGTGGTAGGGCTTTAGAGGTTCCTGGCCTAGGAATTTAGCCCAAAGCCCTTTTGAGAGTTGGGTGGGGTGGGGTTGAAAGGGTGCAGCTCTCAGCCAGCTCTAAGCAAGCAACACTTCCTCCTGTGTCCTTATGGGTCATGGCAAAAACAGCAGGAACACAAAAATGTGCTCAGTAGTTGACAAGGAATGAGTTTTTAGGGAAGCTAATCTGCAAAGTAACCCTTTTTGGAGATAGGCCGCATTGTGCCCAGTTGATAACTAAGAAACCAAGTCTTAGAGCAGGCAAATGTCTGGCTCATGGTCATCTTCACTTGGAGATAAAGTCTTAACACACACACACACACACACACACACACACGCACACACACACACACACTGTGGGTGGTATTCTCATTTTCCTCTTGGAGACACATAATCAGTGCCTCCCAGCTTACCGAGCATTTGCCTCAATTAAAAAATGGTCCTGGCTCCCTAGAGCTCACATCTGTAATCCTGCCTACTTAGGGGGCAGAGATCAGGAGGATCGAGGTTCAAAGTCAGCCCTGGGAATAGTTTGCAAGACTCTATCTGGAAAAAACCCTTCACAAAAAAGGAATGGTAGAGTGCCTCAAGTTGTAGGCCCTTCGTTCAAACCCAAGTACACTAAAAAAGAAAAAGAAAAAAAAAAGCTCTAGGTTCAATCCCCAGAATAGCAATAAGACAAAAACAAACTGAAAACTGAGGTATATGTGTTTCTATGTCTGGGGTGCCAGAATAGACCTGGCTGTGGGACTCTGGCATGTTACTTTCCTCCTTGGCACCTAGATGTCCTCTCAGGGTTATCAGACAAGACACAGGAAGCCCAGTGAAGTTTGAATTTCAGAAACAACAACAACAATAACTGTTTTAGAAAAAGTTTATTCCATGCAATCTTGGGATATATGTATGCTATATCCCAAGCAGAAATCTCAAGTTGAGATATGGGACTCTGAGGCAGCTTAGCAGGAAGCAACATGTATTGTGCCAGCACAGACCCAGCGGACTCGTGTCCAAAGACTGAGCCCCGAGAACAAAGAGGTCTCACCTTATACACCCTTGCAACAGGTTACAGGAGCAAAGAGCAAAGCTCAACCCATATATGGTTGCATGTGACTTCATTGGCTGTTTCACTCCCCCAGTGCTATGTGACCTTCTTCATGCTTCAGTTCTTTACGTTTTATCTCTCTGCCATGCCATCCTTTCCTCCTGCTACATTATCAGAACACAAACTTGTCTGTTTCTTTTCTGGTCCTCTTTCCTGCTACATTTTTCCCCTTTGATGCTCAGACCCACCTAGGGTCAAAGAGCATCATCTCGATTTAGGGGTTTGTATTTTTATAGCATCATTACATGGGCGGCTATTTTTCTATATATTGGCCACCATAATGGCCCTGATGGACCATAATACCAAGGGAACCAAGCAGGGTAACATCAAACATGCTCCCAAGACAAGACCCATCACTCCTGCTTTCCATGACAAAATGTTGCCTGCATTTTTTTTTTTCACTCTGTGACTTTAATATCACTACTGGCAACCTGGCAAACCTGGGGAGTGTATGAGCTGATATAACACCTGTTCTGTTGGTGGGTGCATGACACAAAGTATGGCTGTGCGGAGGTCCCAACAATGGCTCTCTTTGTAACATTTAGCACATGGGGGAAAACCTTGCAAGGGACAACCCGAAAGGTAAGAGTCCAAGTGTGTAGAGGAGAGCAGGGGTGCGTCCCATGTTTGAGCTTCCACCGTGCATAGCCTAGTCAGCTTCCAGAGTGACTAGAGCAGGGCTGTTGTCCTATTGCAGTGGGGATAGACAAGATAACAACAAAAGGGCCCCTCCAATGGGGTTTTTTTTTTTTTTTTAATTCCAGTTGCTCAGACATATCATTTTTATTTATTTACTTGTTTATTTTATTACTGTTCATTTACTTATTTTGGTGGCACTGGGGTTTGAACTCAGGGCCTCACGTTTGCTAGGCAGGCGCTCTACTACTTGAGCCACTCCACCAGCCCTCCAATGGGGTTTTAATGGTTGGACATTTTATTCTTTTACACAGACAGTATCTTTTTTTTTTAATTGAGTAGCCTTACCATGGCAACAATATATTATCAGTATATACCATCTTTAAGTATCAAAAGACATGTTTAGAGCCAGTAAAAAATAGTCACTTTGTCTCTATTTAAGTAGAAGACCCTGTCTAAAAAAATATGAGTTTGTGTCTGGAAGGGCTTTAATGCCAGATAGCTACATATGTATAAGAACCATTTCCTCAATCCTCTCAGCCTTGGTTATTTTTGAGAGGTCTGGCAACAGTGACTCCATTTGAACTTTGGCGGCAATCCCCCCTTGTCTCCAAACTGCTTGTCTCTGAGGAGTCTCCTCTGAAGATCTGTCTCCCATCCAAGTACTAACCAGGCCTGACCCTGCTTAGCTTCTGAGACCAGACGAGATCGGGTGCATTCAGGGTGGTATGGCTGTAGACTGAAGATCTTTTTTGATTAGTCATTTTTTTTTCTTAACCGTGAGGATTTGTTTTTTCCTGGATTTTGTTTGCATCAAAAGGGCTTGGAAGGAGTGGCTCTTAGGCAGTGGGCTTCTAGACAAGGACATACAAAACAAAATCCAACAAAAGCAGACATCTGAAAAGCTCACCTACTTGACAAATAAGTACTCACTGAGTCATTTTTTATGGACTTGATTGTAAATGCCCCAGAAGGATCAGAACTATAATGACAAAAACTTAAAAGAGCCATGGTTAAAAGTCTGATAGACAATTTAGCAACCAACAGAACAGTATAGTAGTACCATTAACTTTTTACCAAGTTTATCTAAATTTTGTATTTTAGAAGGCTTGATATACTTGAAAAACCTAAGTATATTTAGTATACAGGAAGTAACAACAGCATCACAGCTCTATAGAGGTTATATATACATATTAGTTTACTTGTTGTTCTTGAAGTAAAACCTTAGATATTCTCATCAGTTGGAGAAACAGTGTCAGTGATCCCAAATAGCCCAGTCACAGACACATACAGGGTACTGAATGTATTGGAATCACTCAAGACAAAAGTTGCTTAACCATGAGGTCATCTAGAAAATTTTATATAAACCAACTCTTAAATGAACTTTTATTTAGTATGACTCAGTTACCTTAGTAGTCAAAACCCTGACAAAAATCACCAGAGAACACAGGTAAATATTTATGGGGATTAAGTGTGGAATTAGGAAACCTAATGGATGAGAATTATGACTCAGATGTTGATATGGGATCACATCCCAGATTGTTGACATTACACATGGCTCATGATATACAGCAGGATCCTACCAACCTGTAGTCAATGGAGCCCCCCTAAAATAACAGGCTCAGTCTGGCCATCCTAAGCCAAAAACTCCCTTCACCTGAAATGTGGAAGGAGTAGGACTAACATCTCCACTCTGTTGACACTAATAAAAACTGGAGGTCTTGACCTCCAGTGTAGTACTCTTTTTTGAGTTTTTTTCTTTATCCTATCCTGAGGGTGTACTTTGGTTTTTTTTTTTTTTTTACTTTGTTTTATATAAGTAAATTTTTCTCAACCCTCATATTAGTGCAGCAGCACTCCCTGTGCTCAGTTGCTCCTTGCCTCTCTGTGGTGTTTTAATAAACTCTTGTTGTCTTGACAGATTTGTGGATTAACCTGTAACACCAAAAAATTCTGACCATTACCTTGATAAAACAAAAACCATTTTTAGGACAGTTTTTTGTAAAAAAAAAAAAAAATTATCAAGAACAATGTAATATTTTTAAGATAGCCTGGTTGTTATGAGCTTAGAGAATTTTTAGTTTAATATCAGTACATTAAATTTTGACCTTATAAAACCTTTAAGTAACTGGATTTTAGTCAACTTAATCACCTATATAAGCATTTATATCTTCCACTCATGTCACTTAGATCCTATTAAATATAGAAATTCAATTTTTTTTTATTTTCAACACTGGGATCTGAACTCAGGACCTCATGCTTGCTAGGCAAGCACTTTACCACTTGAGCCACTCTGCCAGCTATATAAACATTTGTAAGTTCCATCTTTTTATGACAACTTACTCTGTTCCTTTATGACAACTTATTTTGTATCCTCTGGGGAAGCTTGTTTTTATCCTTTTTTTAAAAAAGTGTTATTTTAACCTTTTATTTTTAAAAACCATATCCTTAATACCTTATATATATATATATATGTTACTTATTGAAAATAACTCATAAAATCTCTTAACTTAGAGCCTTATATTTTTATGAAAAAAACTGAAAAAAAGCAACCTTAAAATTATTTTTTGTATAAAAATAATTTATA